TAACTCATGGTTCAACCTGCCTCTACTGAAGACATCTTTCTTGTAAGATGCTGTTGGGTGATGATTTACATCTTTCTACATCCTGTAGGATGTGCTGTTTCAAGGTCATCTTCTATGTGGCAAGGGATGTGGCATTTTTGGTTCCCAACTAAATAAACCTTGTTCTCTCACCACTCCCCAAAAGGCATATTTGCCCCTAGTAATCTTGCTATACTTTTCTTTCATTTATTTCAAGGTAACTTCATAATGCCTGTGCGTGCTGACACCCTGTTCTATCAAGCCTATTTTCTCCTGCCAGGCAATACTGGAGGCCTCTGGTTTGACTGTGCTCTGATCTGGGACCCTTCTTCTGCATTGTGGGCCTCAGCCTCATCCCCTTATGCCTCTTTCTGAATGCTGACTTCTCCAACTCACTCTGCTGGTGCAGTAGTGACCTGCTGCCAGCATGGCACTCAGCTCGGCCAAGAGGCTGGCGCACCATGCTTGGTTTTTTTGAGCACTCAATACTAGGAATATTCAGTACTAAAATCAAGCACAGAGAGTGGCAATTCATCTGTCATTCTATATGATTGTCAGCTGGTAAGCCAGTAAGACTGTACTGTTCATAGTCAGATCCTAAGTAAAATAAGTCCTGGAGATTTTCACGTGCCTAGGAAAAGTCACTCTAAACAAATACAGATTGGGAAACTTGCAGCAGGCGTTTAGGGTTTCTGCTTTCTCCTCTTGCCACATCCACTTCTTCATGCTACAGCAGAGAAGTCATTGACAGAGGTGTGCTTTGCTGTTTGCGTGGCTGTTTTTTCACATAGCAAACTCCACACTGCTACTTTTACAGAAAACAGCATTAAGTTGAAAGTGTATAGGGAAACATTCATCTGCTAGAAATACTGTAAGTGTTGGAGTAATTCAGTAACTGTGATCTGTTAAAAGTAACTTGAAACTTAGTAGAAATGCATTTCAAAATGTACTGTACGTTGTGTCCAATTAAAACAGAAAGCAGGATGAGGAGACCGTAGCACATTTAGTAGCAATAGGCAAGGGCCAGGACTTTTCCTTTGATGACTGTTCAGCTCATTGTTTCCCATCAGTGTACTTTTTCAGCTTCTTTGAACCACGGGATGTTTTGGACTGTGCTTGCCATGTCCAAGTGTATTTCAGATCAAATCATTCAGTTAATGTAATACCTAGAATGTCAGTTCAGCCCCTTCTAGCTGCAGCTTTTACATTTAGTTCAGAGATTGTCAGCATTTTTATTATAAATATAAATATTATCGCTTTTCCATAAAACTTAGCTCCAAGCTACTGTGTATCGTACAGCTGATTTGAATCATAAGATGAGTTTACTTACTGTGGGACCTGCAGAAAAAAAAGCATGACCTCACATATGACAGTACTACTTAAAAAATAAAAATAAAAAATAAAAAAAAGGAGTAAATGTAACAGAAGAGACCTATGCTTACAGTCTATATGGTACCTGTTGTGCTCCTGGACATGTCCCTGCCCACCAGCCAGCTCACCATGGCTTCTGCAGACTGTCTGCACTAATCCATGCATTGCTTTCTTTATATGGGATGTTTCAGAGATTACTTACAAATTATTTGGTTTTATACCAACATCAAGTCCCATGGACTAATAGTTGAGCTGTACTTTTGATCCTTGCCTCTGTCTCCTCCCATGCAACGCTTCACAAGTTTATTGGTTCCAATAGATTTGTTTCTTCATTCAACTTTTAGCAAGAATCAGTTTACAGTTGATAGAGCAGAATATTGATTAAAACTTCCAGTTGTAGATATATTAAGCTATTCAGTGATAAAGAGCTGAACAAGGCTCTTTCCGTGCTGAATCACAGGGAATGAAATGGCAGATGTGATTCAAGGTCAATAAAGACAAAATGATGGGGGTAATGACCCTAAAATCCCACAGAATGATGGGCTTCTGCCTCTCATGGAGTACATCTTGGAGTTACAGTAGATTGCTCAGGGAAAATTTTGGATGCATGTCCTAAGCAAAATGAATGCCAGGAGTTATTAGAAAAGAATAGAGGACTAAGCAGGAAACATTTGCTGCTGCACAAATTGTTTCATCAGCATCTGGAAAAGTAGTTAAAAGAACAGCAACAACATCTGAGACATAGAACTACAAAGGGACAACATGCACATCCAAGAGGCACTCAGCACCATAATTATGTTCAACACTTTTCAATGTATATAGGTTTTGCTGGAGTATCCAAATTTTGGGGTATTAGGAGTGGCTAAGAGTTGCATTTATTTTTTAATTCTGTATGCAATGATATTGCAATGTTTTCTTTCGAATTAATGGGGCCAGAATGGCTACTTCTGATGTCTCTGTGATACGTGAACAGAAACTGTTGCTTAAAGGGGACAATCTATCATCTCGTGATAATGTACATGTCTCAAATATGTGAGATAAGTTGCTTCTGAATAGCGTTTCTCTCTCATCAGCTACAAAAGGAGTTTGGATTCTAGTGTCCAGAGTCTAGTGCAGATTTGTGATGCTAGATGAGATAACACATATTCTGAGTATTTGTACTTTTGCTATCATTAGAGTGGATTGCTACTGTGAACCCGGCTACAGTCTATGTTTGGATGACATTCATTTGCCCTTAACATTTGTGTATTAAATTAAAATATCCATAATTAAATTGTTAGCGTAAGGCTGCAGTTTTGCTAACAGGAATGGAAAGATCTCTGCAAGAACCTCTAGAGGACAAGTTAACCCATCCTGAAAGAAGCTTTGGAGACTGTTTCAGATTCCTCAGAAAGGTGACATAAATAATTGCCAATAAGGAGAAAGACAGTGGTACTTAATGGTGCTTAGTGCCAGCACATAAGAATCGTGGGATCTCTATGCAACTCAATTAAAAGTGTTGGAGCCTGAATTAGGTTTTGTCTAATTTGACATCACACCTCTGCATTCAAAAGCATGGCAGCTGGCATGGAGTTTCAGGCAAATAATCATCCATCTAGCTGCAGTTTCAAATACTGGAACGCTATCTACAGTTCAAAGTTTGTTTTCTAAGTCTTCCATGGCCTTGCAGTCTCTAACACTTTCTTGTGTCTCTGGGCATGCTGCACAGCACATATGTTTAGGATAGATTCAGGCTAAGATTGTAATTACCCACATACCTGTGGTCTGGCCTGGTATTATCCATCACAAAACTGTCATGTGCCGGGCATTGACAGCATACTTAAGAAGCTATTTTTTATGTGATATAACTAGCATATTGGGTAACTTTCTTGTAGCATTAAGGAGAACTTGCCAACTCTTTCAACACAATAGTTTCCAGACATTTTTTATAAAGCAGCAGGATTGCCTGGGTTCAGGCAAGCAGTCCGGACTGCATGTTCCTTACAGGTACTTCTTCACTGCATCGGAAGAGTAGGTTGAAGGAAATGATCTGTGTGCTACAAAATAATAGCACTGTCTGATTCTTTCTCTTCATTCCAGCTTCATTCCCATTTCAGCCCCCAGCCATGGTTTACAAGATGCTGAACCTGAGACCACTTGCAGCTTCAGCTCCTTGGTGTCAGCTGCAGCATCCTACCTTCGGACTCTCGTTTTCCTTACTAGGGCAGGAGCATGCTCTCATCTGCTTTGCTAAGTACTGCTATTTTCAACTGTCTCTCCTGTTTTTAACCACTTCCATCTTGTGGCTCCTTATTTGTGCTCTGCAGCACCACATGGGACACCTGCTCTGCATTTGGCCACCTTCACCAGGCTGAGACTGCCTTGCTTGATTTTCCTGAAGGCAAACATACTCAGTTTGCACACTTAAAAGGACTTCTACAGAGTTATAATGGGGATCTGCTGTTTGCCTGTAAGATAATGTTTTTCTCAGCTGCTTGGACTGAGCACATTGGCTGTGTAGTCCAAAAAGTCCTCCTACTCAGTGGAGTGCAAAGAAATAGACACTGGTGGAGCTGAGTATTCATGCTTGTTATATCCCTGGAGTCAACACTGGGGCAAAAGATTAAATGGATAGGATTCAAAGAAAACATTTGAAAATGGGTAATGTGTGGAAAAAAGGCAGTAAGTAAAGCAGGCTGAGGACAGCAGCAGACTGCATGGATGTTTGATTTAAAGCTCATCTGCCATTTTTTCCCAATTCTAATCACAGAATTGAGAGATTTCCTCACTGCTTCAAAGATCTAAATTCTGCAGGTGAGATCACTGTCTCCATATCTGAAGGAGGAATGTAGATTGCAGTTTTTAGTGCTGCACTAGTCTCATCCATAGCCTGCAAAAATTACTGTGTGTCTGTCAAGGAATTACTGGCTCTGCAGAGTCAGTTCTGTAAGACTCAAAGTCTGCATCTGTCACTAGTTTTCTTGTATATTTTCTTCTGTGTGCGTTGTTTTTTTCCTTGTGAGGTGACAGTAGCCTAATACACTGTTGCTGTTTTCCATTATTTTATTATTATTGTTATGTTTACCTTTTCAGGTTGCAAATTGTACTCTCCAGAAGACCCTATTACCCAGACACCTATTTTAGGATGGATGACACTATATCACTCTTTAGAGCAACACATCCTTCTCTGTCTCCAGAGGCAGCCTAGGTAGTTCTTATGGTCTAGACACCAAACTTTTGGATGGATGAAATTAAGTTGGTTGAATCCTGTGTGTCTAAAATACTTACTTAAAAGACTCTCTTGCTACTAAAGGTTTCTTATGTTGGGAATGGTGTCAGCCTTTTCTGTATCCTGATGTATCAGTAAATGCTTTGGGACTTGACCTTGTAAAGGAGGCAGTCCTTCTTGTACATAGCCAAATGTTTCTGAGGTCTCTGTGGAAAAGAGAAGTACAGTAGTTACCAGGTAACTTTATTCTGTGCTGATGAGGATCTCGTAAAATCACTAAGGTTGGAAAAAAGCTCTAAGATCAACGAGTCCAGTCATAATTCCATCCCCACCATACCCACTAACCACATCCCTCAGTGCCACATCCACACATTTCTTGAACACCTCCAGGGATGGTAACTCCACCACCTCCCTGGGCAGCCTGTGCCACTCCCTCACCATTCTTTCTGAGAAGAATTTTTCCTAATATTCCATTACCTCCCATCCTATCACTGGAGATTACACATTACCTGAGAGAAGAGGCCAACCCCCACCTTGCTATAACCTCCTTTCCTTGCTATAACCTCACTGTAGAGCAATAACATCTCTGCTGAGCCTCCTCTTCTCTTGGCTGAACAATCAATCCAGTTCTCTCATCTGCTCCTCGTAAGACTTGTGCTCCTTCACAGAGAAGGGCTGTGGACATACTCCAGGGTGTCAATGTCTTTCCTGTAGTGAGGGGCCCAAAAATGAACACAGTACTCAAGGCGTAACCTTGGCAGTTGGTCTTGTTGTACCTCATACAATTGGCCACAGGCCAGCAATCCAACCAGTCCACATCCCTCTGTAGGGCCTTCCTACACCCAGCAAATTGACACTTCCTCCCATCTTGGTGTTGTCTGGGAATGTACTGAAAATGCACCCAATCCCCTTGTTCAGTTTGTCAATAAAGATATTAAACAGGACAGGTCCCAGTACTGACCCCTGAAGAACACTGCTCATGACCTGTCGCCATCTGGATTGAGCTCCATTCACCACCTCTCACAGTGCCAGTCATCCAACCAGTCTTTTAGTCAGTGAAGAGTACAACTGTCCAAGCTATATGTTGCCACGTTCTTCAGGATTATGCTATGCAGTGTCAACTATATCTACATGAAGTAGGTACAGTTTCTGAGGCTTCAGGACAATGGGCATGGATGGTTCTCTGCTTTCGTTTCTGCAGTCTGAAAACCCAGAGGAATGATAAATGGTAAATTTTAGTGTATTATCATTTGTCTTCTGAGCTAGTAATTTTGTCTTCTCTGTAACCTCACCACAGGTAGGGCACTTCTTCCAGCATGTGATAAGCATTTAACTTTGCAGAAGAAGCTCAGAACCATCCTGGATTTTGGGGCACTATTTGCAAAAAAAGGTGGTATTACTACACTTGGGGCACTATACTTTTTTGTGCTGGTCTTTAAGAGTTTGCCAAACTCTTAAAGTAGTCTTCAGCAGTACACTTTTCCTAGCGGTAATGCATAGACTTCAGTAAGTGCCCACTAGAATTGCTGAGCCATGTTTTCTTGAGTTTGTGGTTTGTGGAAGGATTTTGGAAAACTTGATTCTGACATGTCTGGCAAATCTGCATGAATTTACTGAAAAACTTGTTTTCCCCTCTATATACAGACCCTAATATGGTTAATGCAGGAGAAATGAATGGTTCTGGCAACCTCATGGATTTTCTGGATGAGCCTTTTCCTGATGTTGGGACTTATGAAGATTTCCACACTATTGACTGGCTGCGAGAGAAATCGCGTGACACTGACCGCCATAGGAAGGTAATGGCAGCTGGATTTGGTGTGTCACAGACCCTGAGTTACGGCCATCTCAGTTGCAAGAACAAGCAGCAGTTTTCCAATGCTTTTAGTTCCTACTTTGAATATCATTTGAGGAGAACTTATAAAAATATAGGTTTGATATATCCTGAGTTTGTAAATGTGGAAGTGTTTTCTGCAATTTATAGCAGAGCATCTCTAAAGTATGGTTGGGACTGAAGGGAGTAGAGAGTAGAAGAATTTTTAACCTACATTTGAGTGGATTAAATTCTTTTGTTTTGTTTTGCCATGATGCATTAAAATTGTGTTAGCCTGAATCAAAACCACAACTCAATGTACATATTGTTTCAGATTACAAGCAAAAGTAAGGAATCCATATGGGAATTCATCAAGAGTTTGCTGGATGCTTGGTCAGGATGGGTTGTAATGCTTCTCATAGGACTACTGGCAGGTATGTGTGCGTTACATTGCTTTTTCCTGGAACCACCTCACCCAAATTTGCTGTAGTACCATTTGTTTCTCCCTTTACTTTGTTCTCTGTTCACTGATGTTTCATGCTAAAAAAAAATAGTTATGTATCCTTGCAGTTTTAATATTTAATAAAAGCACTCCTGTTGAGTGCTGACTTGGAAAAAACATTATTAATCTATAGAGAGATTTTCTTTGAAAATAAGTATGTAAGTACTTTATTCTCAATTGACTACTTTCACTTTCTGAGTCTTCAATTCAAACTAGCCAGTTTTATTGTAGATTTTTTTTTCCTTGTCTTCACTTAACTGCATTCTGCAAGTAAATGTTGTCATGTGGGGAAAGAAAATGTTGGCCATGTACAGTCAAGAGGGAGCTTTGTAAATCATTACGTCCACTTGGTTGTCTTTTTATATATGCATGAAGGGAAAATACAATTTCAAACTCAGTTCTGCATTTGCTTTCAAGCCAGACAGATATTACATTTAACAGCCTGTTTGAACTCAGATTGCAAATTCATTAATTGCTCGAATTGCTCTTGTCTTTTGCACACATTAGCACATCTTCCAACTTGGAAAGCTATACTTCTATTACGAAGTTGAAACACCTGTCATTTTTTTTGTATTTTTCCAGTGATGTCAGGGTGCTCTGGTGCGACTGTGCTTGGTAGAACCACAATGCAAAGCTTCACGATTTCCAAGCAGTGTAAATCTCTTTTCTGCTATCTGTCAACCTAATATATTTATCATAGCTGTTCAGGTGTGTTAGAAGTGCTGGGGAAGGTCTTGAGAAAACACCGATGAAGTGACATTTTGGCAAATGGTTCTGTTGTATACATGTTTCCACAGTAGTTTTGATGGGTGAATGGCATGGGAAGAAAGAGAAAGTTCAAGGTTTGTTTCAGTTCCAGTTCACAATGAAAGCTCGTTCCGGCACACGCAATATTATTGAAACCCAGAATTGATAACCTCCATTAAAGCTCTAATGCTCATACATCTATCCTACATACTACAGGTCAGGGTAAGCTGGAGCTGAGGTGCATTAACTTCTGCAAACTTTGTGATGACACAAGTGCAGAACAGCATGTTTTACCACAAAGAATAGAGGTTAGTCTGTTTTTTAGTTGGGCAAGGACTTGTGAATCAGCAAGAGAAAAAAATTATCTGCGTGCTCATGATCTGGGCTGTAGACTTTGTCTGCTCTTGGAATGATACATGTACTCTGTGCCTGTCAAAGATGGAGCCTTGGCTCAGCTGCATGGCCGTGAGGCAGCTCTTGGGCAGCTGAATCCAGGCATTGCCAGGGGCAAGAACAGGGGATGGTGAGGAGGAGGAAAGCAGCAGCAGTAGTATCTAGGGTATGAGGGGACTGTGCCCCTGCTACAGCCGTTGTGGGGACAGAGGCCAGCAAGGTGGGACTTTTGGGAAAGGGGATGGCAGGTGCCTCCACATATTTCCAAAGGCACTTGGAAAAGTTATTCAGGCCCAGGAGTTTAAAGTTAGCTTAAATTTTTCATTCCAGGTGGAGGATGTATAGACCAGGGGGCCAAATTCAGTTCCTTTGATGGAAAAATATGGAAATAAACATATGCTATATTGCAGTTTTGCACTGACATGTCTAGACAGCAATGTTAAGATGTCTAGCTTAACAGTTAAAGGATTGACTTTCTGGGTTGCTGAGCACTCTGCAACTTTCATTAATTTCAACTGAAGTTGCAAAGATTTAGAACTTGGATAAAATCTAGTTCTTGGATAAAACCTAGTTCTGGTCACTGGGCTTATTAATCAATAACTATTGTACTATTATCCTGCAAGCACTGGTCTTCTCCTCTTGTGATTTTCTCTGTAATATATGTGTAGTAAATCACAGCATTTTCCTCTTTATGTGGATCCCATGTAGCAAAAGGGATTAGTTCAGTATATAATTAAGCACGTTTTCTTAGAGGCACAGAGGCGCATGGAAGCTTGTTTTAGAGAACTGAATGTTATTTTCCTACTCTGTTATTCACTTGATTAGGGGAAAAATATTCAAAAGCACGTTCTACTAGGTAGCATTAATATTAAATTGTCTGATTATAGATTATGTGTATTTCAAAGATTGGAGTGACAACAGAGAATGATAAATGTCCACCAACAGATGTAAGAGGCACAGCATTTGGTGCTTATGCTCAAGGGCTGAGGATTCTTTGTGCTATTTCCTGAAAGTTTCAGAAAATTGGAGGAGAATTTAGAGTTTACTATATCTCACCGAGTTATGCATGCTGATGTTACAACACGATGGTTTCTAGTCATCTAAAAATGTATTTCATCATTTCCAAAGAAATCTGGGGAAATGGAAAGAGAGTGGAAGAGAAAGCCAAGGCCTACAAAGAAAATCACTATTCCGGGCATCACTACTCCTGCAGCCTGTTTTATTGTGGTCTTGTCTGGTATGTGATGAGGAGTAAAGGCCTTAAGATGCACAGGAGAGGTTCAGGTTGGATATTAGGAAAAATTCTTCTCAGAAAGAGTGGTGAGGCAGTGGCACAGGCTGCCCAGAGAGGTGGTGGAGTCACTGTCCCTGGAGGTGTTCAAGAAACATGTGGATATGGCAAGGAAGGATTTGGTTAGTGGGTATGGTGCGATGGGTTGGTGGTTGGACTAAATAATCTTAGAGGACTTTTCCAACCTTAGTGATTCTATGATTCTGTGTATAGTTCTTCATACTCTTCTGTTACAATAAAAATTGTACACTGCTAATGTAGTTGAGTTTGTGTGGTGACAGGTACTCTTCCTAAGACGCTGAGAAAATATGCTCATGCATATAGCCCTGTGGATGCTATTATTTTTGGTTCTGTGAATAAAAAGCAGGTTGTGCGTGCCTGAATTATTTGAATTTTATTATTCTTGTTATTATTTTCTTCTTATTTCACAGAAATAAAAAGCAGAAACTTTATTTACAGGTCAAATGAACTGACTCCTAAGGGAAAAAAAGATCAAGCCCTCCACACATCCTCCCTTCAGCTGATTGGATACTTAGCAGAAACTGAAAAAATAAAAGTCTTGAAACTATAAAGACGATCCATTACCTTTTCCAAAATATTTTAATCTCGCTGAAATTCACCGACAAAATACAATGGAAAAGCAATGTTTCCCTTGGGGTCACACCACGTGAAATTTACGCGTCTTCTGTCCACTGGATGTCGCTGTAGGTCTGTGTAGTTACTGGGAGAAAGTTTGAACAGGGTTTGTGTCCACAAAGAGAGAATTTAAAGAGTAATTTTAATCTCTGTGTTCGGATTGGTAATGAATGTACACATCAAGAGTCTGATTCCATTAAGTTCATAAGTCAAAATTTGGCATCCATATCGTTTTTGCACTGAAACCATCCTTTTAAAAGGTTGCTGTCATGGGACCAGAAGGACTAGAGGAAAGCAGCAGTGTCCTCCTCCTATCCACCCCTGAAATGCAGTGTGTCTTGGGCCCTGTGGCCTAGTCCTTACACACAGCCCTGCTGACCTCCATCAGATGGTATGCCTGCCAGGTACAGGCTGCAGGAACAGTCCCAGCATTACTTAGGCCTTCCCTCTTTCTCAATTAGCCATCATGAAAATAACAGTATTTTTAAAAAAACACTTTAGGAGAGAATGCTGATAGATCAAACATGTTGTTATGGCTGTTTCTTTGCAATTCTCCCACTGTTTCTTCCACTTCTTTGGTATGTCTATGCATTCCAACCTGAGCAATTGTATGATTCTATGATTCTATGATATATTGCAGCTTCTTCCCCAGATGATGTATTTTTGCTTTTATTATAAACAGATGTATTTACCTCATGGCTTGGTATTTTTCGATGCCACATCTCCTTTTTATGCATTTCCTTTTCCAGGCACGTTAGCTGGAGTGATAGATTTAGCTGTGGATTGGATGACAGACCTGAAGGAAGGTGTCTGCCTGTCTGCGTTCTGGTACAGCCACGAGCAGTGCTGCTGGACATCTAATGAAACGACCTTTGATGACAGAGACAAATGTCCACAGTGGCAGAAATGGTCTGAACTTCTTGTAAACCAGTCAGAGGTATGGGAGACCTGATTGGGGTGGGGTCAAGGAAGACTGGGGAATGCCTCTTTTTCATACTTGCTGATGCTCTCTCCATGTAGATTCTCTGAAAGAGAAAACCTTATGAATGGAAATGGATGCGTTTTTTTTTGTTTGGTTGATGGGTGCTGTTGTTGTTTTGTTGTTGTTATTGTTTGTTTGTTTTTAAAGACATTACCACAAGCAATGTCTGCATAATTGAGGACTGTTATAATACCATGTGTGATAGAAACTGGAAAATATCTCTCCTTTTTTCTTTCTCTCTCTCTCTCTCTCTCTCTCTCTCTCTCTCTCTCTCTCTCTTTCTCTCTCTCTCTCTCTTTCTTTCTCTCTCTCTTTCTTTCTCTCTTTCTTTCTCTCTTTCTTTCTCTCTCTCTTCTCTTCTCTTCTCTTCTCTTCTCTTCTCTTCTCTTCTCTTCTCTTCTCTTCTCTTCTCTTCTCTTCTCTTCTCTTCTCTTCTCTTCTTTATTGTAGTTAGTACAAATGATAATGTTTCAAGGCAGAATGTGTGGAAGTTTTGAATTTTAAGACATCTATGGTAGCCTTCCTTACCTGCTTGTGGCAGACGGTATTTTCATGGTATTTTGTTTCCACCTCAGCTATTCAGTGTATTGAATAATATCAATTCCTTCAAAACTCAAATTATTGTATTGAAAAACATCCCCCATTTTTGCAGGTGACTTGGAGGCAAAATTGAATACGACGTTGTGTAGGTGAGATGGATGTGTCATTGGAAAGAAAGGGCTTATGTGATATCAAAGTCCCTAACAGAACTTTTGGTTTGTTTTTAAATAAATGGTAATGCAGTTTAGGCAATAATAAAGGAAAGAAAATACATACTTCTATGGCATAAACCTTCTGCAGCCAGGCAACTGAGAATAGGTGACTTGGAGACATTGTCTCAGATCTTCCTCCAGTGTGGAGGTGGTCCAGCCCTGCAGAAAATGTTTGAGGGCACCTTCACTGCTGTACAGGATTGTCATTTATGTTCACTTCAGTGCCACTTTAAGTTTGTAGTTAAAGTAATATGAGAGTGTCTGTGAATATGTACAACCCAATTTTCCACACTTCTTACTAACTGTAGCGAAGGTAGTAGGGTGCTTACTGTTCCTGAACATTCCCACCACTTAATCACAGGCAGAAATCTCTCTGTACAGCTTCCAGTCCACAATGCCAAACTTGCCTTTGCCAGAGGTTTTCTAGGCTTGCACAGTTCTTCATAAACAGATGGTTCAGATGGGTGTATCTTTGTAACAGTGAAGAAATATTACCGTGGTATAAGGTTGCAGGACTGGGGACAGGGTTGTAATTTAAGTGAAAAAAAAATGTGGCAAATCAAAAAAGGGTAGAATGTTACAATTGTTATGGGATTTAGAAATCCTGTGCATGTGTTTGACATGCTGTTACTCTGAGAACCTGGAATATTTAAACAGAGCATTTCCTTGAGAAAATTTATTGCTTTCACCTGCTGCACAAACTTAGCCATCACAACTATTGTATGCCATGGCTTATAAGAAAAGTATCATCTAGATGGACAATGTAAAATTTAGCTCATTTATATCCAAACTGGACTTATGACCTCCTAGTATCATGTCACTGTGAGAAAAAAGGGTTCTTTCTTAGCTTTAATCTTATTCTCACAGCAAAGGAGGTTCAAAGATCCATAGTTTTCTGGATGCCATGACCCAATGGATGCTGCGGTATTAGTAAGAAGTGTCTAACACTATTATATACAAATCCATGGCAAAGACCTGTAATACTCCAACAGAAATGTGGATTTGGCAAGTAAAAATTATGTTCTATTGCAAAAGGTTATGGGCAAGTTCTACATGATTCCTGTATCTCTAGAGGACTCTAAGAGGAATCATAACATACTGAATGTTATTAAGTTTCAGGATTATTATTATTGTTATTACTGAACGTGGCTATATTGCTTGAATTGGTATTCTACATTTGGGTAGCTGCTCTGTAGAACAGCAATGCACAGAACTAATTTGGATTACATTCCAGACAAAAAGTTCTCAGGGCAATTTCTCTAAGGGTACTCTATCAGACGTATCTACTTTTTTAATGTGTGACTGTGACTCTTTCTCATCATAGCCAACTAAATTTGACATTCTGAGGACTAAGATTTAGACCACTTCTTTCCTGTGGTTTTTCTGATTTATGACTGATAAACCCTGTACATATGCTCTCACTGATAATTGTGATATTTCCTATAGCATCTCTTGAAAAATGATTTAATTCTAGACCTATTAAATGAGCCTAAAGCAGGTTTGATGTAAATTGTTATGGAAAACGTAATAGTGCATCAGAAACATCCCAGGCTATGTTTTGTAGACCAACAGTATTCTTCAACCCTCTGGTTATGAATTGCTTCCAAAAAGCATGTAAAGAGTGCTGTAATACAAGAGAGTTTCAAAAACTCAAATTCACTGAAGCTATGGATGTTTAGCATTACATAAGATGCCCAGTTCAGCTGGTGCCTCAGAGCTTCTGCAGATCCAGCTTGGCCCTTCAACTACACTGGAGCTGAGGGCGCTATATTCTAACACTTCATGTCTACCCAAGCTAGAGGGAAGGACCACGTATCTTCCATGACTCATGATACTGGATCTGGATACGGCTTGTAACACAGTCACTGAATGGTTGAGATTGGAAGGGACCTCTGGAGACAATCTGGTGTAGGCCTGCTCAAGCAAGGCCACATACAGCAGGTTGCCCAGGACTATGCCTAAGCTGCTGGATCTCCTGTCATGAAGGTTGCAAGCCAAGGAAGCCTCTCTATATCTTGGACTCACTTCCCAGCTTTGCAGCCTTGAATCTGTCAGTATTGAACCTTAAGGATGCATACTGCTATAAAGTCCATAGGAGGAAATCTGCAAGCTATGACATCTCAAGTTGAGTCAGAATAGAGCTCTTTGCCTCTCTGAAAACAAGTATTGGCCAGCAATGGATGGCATCCTGAGGGATGTGTTTTATTTCAAAATTTTAAATTTGTGAGAATTGTTTTCAATTATGTTCAATTTGTACCTAATCTGGACTGAAACCAGATCTGAAATTTTGCTAGATATTTGTAAACTAAAATACTAAGTTTTGCTCTGTTCCACTGCTTGCTTCATCACTATTGCTGCCAGGGTGAGTCCTCAGAGCCACTGCTGGAAAAGATGTTAGCAGGATCATCTCCACTGATGAGATTTTTCAGTCTCTGATTCCAGTATAGATGTTTTCTGGTTCAACGCATATAATGAATGAGAAATGACCCATTTGCTATACTGAGTTACTACTACTTCACTTCCCAAAGGATTTATTATTTTTAATCATTAGAAACTGCTGCAATTGGATCTGTAGGAAAACAGATATCTGGAAAATGTGAGTGTTGTCCTTAGGGATAAGATTGAACTGGCCACATAGAATCTTATGTGGTCTTGCCACAATGCAGTAGGTATATGTGAGACCGCAATAATGAGCTGACATAGTCTTCATCTAATTTCTCAGATGTGAAAGAAGTGGAAGTAAGAAGAAATGAAGTTAGACTAAAGTGAATCAGAACTGCAGCTTTATGTCAGTGTTCTAGGGCCACATTTTAGTGATGGCATTAGTCTTTGGAACTAAGCCAGGTTCACAGTTTTTTGTGCTGGGACAACATATCCAGAGTTTTCTTTGGAGGAAGAGTAAATATTGCCATAGCTGTTTGTAATTGAAAGCGCTAGGAGAAAACACTCATGAAGAAACAAGGCTGTCTTCAGCTGCAGCAACATACATCCATGATTACTGTAGACAGATGTCAATCACTGTAAGTGTCAGATCCATGACTGCTAGGTTCTCAGGGCACTGCAGGATGGTCTTGTACTGTTTTTATTAGCAAGGCCAACTGCTAATGTCAGCAAGCATAAGAGGAACTTAACAAATTGCCCTTCTTTCAAATATATCCACAAGGTTAAGGGCAGTGGTTTCCTTGCTATTTTTTTCAATTGGATAGAGATCAGCAAAATGAGGCTTAGCAAGGATTCGTGTTGTTAAGGGTTGATTTCTTTCAAGCTTGCAAACAGAGATGCTTCACAGTGCTAGGGTTTTTTTATTTTTTTATGACTGGAAACTGGGTCTGGCCAACTCGATTAACAGGAGACACGAAACAACTGATTAAAGCCTGTTTTCCTACTTGATTTACCACAATGTTGATATCCACTCTGCTGTCCTGCAAGAGCAGAGAAAAGTGCCTTGATGTTCTTCAGCAGCTGGGCTTGCATCCGGTAGGAAGAGTTCACTGAGAGGTGAAGAATTCATACCAGTTCATGCACCAAGTTTCATCTTGTTTTTTGTTCTGTAGTGTCACGTTGCTGGAGATTGTTTGAAAAATAAAGCTCCTTGCATCAGTCCAGTTTCTTCAACTAAGTTCTCTTTTGTCTCTGTAGGTGTGGTTTTTGAAATTTATCTAATAATTATGCTTGTTAAGAGGGAGGAGTAGTTTGACAACCTTGAACAACGATTTTGACTTGGTCATTGAGAATGGCAGAAAACTTGAAGGTCACTGCCAACTGTGCTTTCACTTTGGTCCTGAACAGTCAACCACAGCTCATGGTCACTACTGTTTCCATTCTGTCAGTAAAGTAAATACGTTTAGTTTGCAGATGGCTTTAATTAATGACTGGAATACTTTTAAAATATCAAGGATATGTGATATGTTAGAGTGGTGTCTGTCAAGATACTGTGTTTTCAAATGATTTTCACTGTCATAGATGGTATCATATAGAAAGAAAGGATTTATTTATGTTTTCACCCTTCTACTCTGTGAGCTGAACTGGCCACTAATATACACAGGGATAAAGTTTGAAAAGATCAGCATTTGTACGGAGAGCTGCTCTTTGAATACACTTTATGTCCTTCACAAACTGACTGAATGGATTGGGTTAGATATATATATTAGTACGTTGCTTCTTCACGTGGGTAGTAAATTTTTTTGGAGCATATGAGGTCATCTGTCCTTCCTGATACAAAGCAACAACTAGCATGTAAATGAAAAGACCAGGCTTCATGCCATCATCATCTCTAGAACAAACATGGGTCTTACTATCCTGTATTTGTCTAACAATGTTTATTGCTGTTATTTTTCTAGGGTGCGAGTGCTTACATTCTAAACTATTTTCTGTACATTCTATGGGCTCTATGTTTTGCTTTCCTGGCAGTCTCCCTGGTCAGGGTGTTTGCTCCCTATGCCTGCGGCTCTGGAATCCCAGAGGTGAGTTTCTCTTTACAGATGAGTATCTAAAAACCGAGCCAAAGAAAAGATCATTTGCTGCCTTTTCTTCTTCCAGAACTGTACTATGAAGTAGCATAGGAATAAACCTCATGTGTCTTCATTCCTTTGTCTATGTTCATGGTAACAATCAGAATTTTTCATAGTAGAAAATGTTCAAATGCCACTGTGACTTGTTAACCTCTGGCAGTGAAGAAGAATGTATATTGAATTAAAAATTGACAGCTCCCTGTCATCAGTTTATGAAGTCCAACTTTTTGTGGCTAAGGCATATACTCACTAAGAGATTATACAGTGTTTTCCTTGGATGAAAGTGCTTGGGCCAGGTATAAACAGCAGAAATTTTTAGGTTATACTTTAAGCAAGAGTAAACTAAAGTAAAGGGAGAGGATAAAAAACCTAAGATTTCCTGAGTAACTGAAGATTTGAGATGCCCATCATTTGAAGTGTCTGAAAAATGCCTGGCTGCAAATTGTGTCCTTATACACAATGTCATCCTGATATGACAACATTACAACAGCCAGAAACTCTGATCAGTTTTAATGTTTTGAGCTTAAGTCCAGATGTCGTTGAAATGGGGACCCCTGCAATTAAAGTAGTATAACTACTCACAGTTTTTGAAATCAGAGCAGTCTTTCATTAAAAGTGCTATAAAACTATGGTGATTATTACTTAAGAATATATCCAAAAGAGCCAACAGTTTAAATTTTAGATGTCTTTACATACTTTCTTTCATAGAATCATAGAATGGCTTGTGTTGGAATGGACTCAAGGATCATCAAGCTCCAAACCCCTGCTCCATATTTAATGCCAGACTAGGTTAGTTCTTTATTTGTAGGAGAAGCAAGAAAATATTCCATAACCAATTAGGAAAAAAATCCTGCAAATAATTTGAAACGTTTAAATAATTTCCATGTTTCAAAGCAGTCACATGTTTGTATTGTATTTGATACATCTCTAAGTAGTTTTATAAAGTTTTCATAATTAAATCTGGTTTACAGAAAATAAATTTCAGAACCATTTATGCCATTCAAAATCAGATTTACTTGATACCTATATTTGATTGCAAGAAATGCTTTCAACTGTATTTCCTGTTAAGATGAATCCACCAAAATGACTATTATTTAAACACTCTCAGTCTTAATTAGTTTTTTAAAACCATAGTCCATAAAGTAGAGATTTGACTTGCAATGACAGTACAACTCTTTATTCTTGTTCCCACTGCTAAAAGTGCTAAAAGTGGACTGCTGCTAAAAGTGGACATGGCTTTCCAATCCCCACTGTCATTGTTTTTGTGTGGGGAAACACATGTGAGAGTGACACTCAACTCTAGTCTGTTTCCAGGGCTGGTTTCCAAACCTAAATCCCCATGCAGTCTCTGTTTAATGCATGTGCACTGTGCTCTGTCCTAGCCACTTACATGCCAAATTAAGAGGAAATGTGTTAAAATAAGATCTTTTGGGCTTTCTAATTTCGTAATACTTGTATGCTTTTACGTCACAGCCATTCCAAATATTTAGAACATTTTATTTCTTGTTTTAACTGGAAATGGCTTGTGATTGTTTATTTGCTTTTTTTTCTCTGCTTTTTTATTGTTCAGTCTAGTTTAACTCTCATCCTGTAAGCCAAGACGATATGTAAGAGTTTCATGTTTCTATTGATCTGTACGAGACTCCTTACCGACTCAGGGGAGCACTCATAATAACAGTAACAGTTCCCCCCTGTTCAGATATCACTATGGGATAGCTGCCCTACTAAGGTTTCTTTCCCTCCATCACTGTCTCTCCCCAAGCAGTCTGATTTTTAACTCCACTGAGGTTTTAACTCAATTTGCAAATTCAGAGTAGAAAAGGTTTCTTCAGCTCTTCAACATGTTCTTCCTGCTTTCCAGATAAAAACCATCTTGAGTGGGTTCATTATTAGGGGCTACCTGGGAAAGTGGACACTTTTGATTAAAACAGTCACCTTGGTTCTGGTGGTATCTTCAGGCCTCAGCCTTGGGAAAGAAGGGCCCTTAGTCCATGTGGCCTGTTGCTGTGGAAACTTCTTCAGCAGCCTTTTCTCAAAGTACAGCAAGAATGAAGGAAAGAGAAGAGAGGTGAGGTTGGCTCAAATCATCCTTTATTTCCCTTTCCAGATATTCAGTGTTTCAAAGGACTCACGCTTTGTACATTACTGTTTGTTTTGTAGGTTCTTTCAGCTGCAGCAGCTGCAGGAGTTTCTGTTGCCTTTGGGGCTCCAATTGGAGGTGTACTTTTTAGCCTGGAAGAGGTGAGAGCTGGCAATTCATTTGTTTCAATAAATACATATCTTCTTTTGATGCCTTTTTCTAAGATTCATTTTTATTTTTCAAATATTTATATGCTTATTTTTCTTGTAAAGCAAAAATAAACTCTGATTGTTAGTAATAAGATTTAGCCAGGTATTTTAGCATAATTCAAATAAAAGAAGGTCACTGGTTTTCTGGAAAAATGTGAAATGATTCAGTCTGTAAATGTGTCACTGTGCTGAGCTTTCTATGGCTTTAAGGTAACTACTGCAGGGGCAGACCTATGAAGCATCTGTCTTACCTTCTTTAAACTTTAAATTTAGATTTATTGATTTTTTCATTGATTGCTGCTCAGCATCCGAACCTCAAAATGCCCTTTCTAATACCTTTGTGAACATGTTCTGGCTGCCGTAACATCTGGTGCTTCTAGTAGAGTCAGATGCAAAGTCACAGAAGAAACAAACTACAGCAGTCTACTGTACTCTGGTGAATAACTAAAGCCAGCAACCTCTGACACGCTCAATGAAATGTTTGCTTGTCTCTGATTTTAGGTCAGCTATTACTTTCCCCTGAAAACCCTCTGGAGGTCATTTTTTGCTGCTCTTGTGGCTGCCTTCACACTGAGGTCCATCAATCCTTTTGGAAATAGCCGACTGGTCCTTTTCTACGTGGAGTACCATACCCCCTGGTACATGGCTGAGCTCTTTCCCTTCATTCTTCTTGGCGTCTTTGGTGGCCTCTGGGGGACCCTCTTTATCCGCTGCAACATTGCCTGGTGTAGGAGGCGAAAAACCACCAGGCTTGGGAAATACCCGGTCCTGGAAGTCATTGTGATAACAGCTATCACTGCCATCATCGCCTACCCCAACCCATACACCCGGAGGAGCACCAGTGAGCTGATCTCAGAGCTCTTCAATGACTGTGGTGCTCTGGAGTCCTCCCAGCTCTGCGACTATATCAATGACCCAAACATGACACGGCCAGTGGATGACATTCCTGACAGACCTGCTGGACCTGGAGTCTACACTGCTATGTGGCAGCTCGCCTTGGCTTTGGTGTTTAAAATTGTCATCACGATATTCACTTTTGGCATGAAGGTAAACTGGGGACTGCTGAAGAGCTCACTATGGCACTTCTCATTTAGTGCTGAATGATGCTGTCTATATATCCCAAGGCACAAATGGGTTGCAGTCAGCAGCTCACGTCTGTATCGCATGGTTTGGGTGCCTCTGACTTACCTTCAGCCATGTGTGGGCCATTGTGATGTCTAGTGGTCCATTGGCCTGCCAAAACCTTTCTCTGCAGGGCACAATTGCAGCAAAGCGACAATTCCCGCATTTCTGTTTTAGTTAACTTCAGTTTTATTAAGTGAAAAAGATATCTGGAACAGTATTTAAATTGTCTGCTGCAAAGGAGCAAATTCAGCATGATTTCCACTACAGCTGTCTTTCAGCTCTGTCAGAGATATGGACTGTTTACATTGTTGTTTGTCTTGCTGGATTAATGTCTTAATATGCCTCAAGCTAACTATGCTCAGGGAAGTAATAGTTTTCAGTTTACAGATTTATACATTTAAAAGCTAACTAAGATTTAAAAGTAGGTGAAAACTTCTGTCTTTGAATCTCTTTAAGCACTTTAACCTGGAAAAAAGAGGGAGTGGGAGGACTGATGGATATATAATTTGATTATTCTAGACTCACAGCTTTTTCTTCCAATCCTTCTCCCCATAAATGGGTGATGAAGGATTCAAGAACAATTTATCCAAGCTTTCAGTATATACAAAGCTGATTGCGGAGAGTTCTGCATATCTGAGTGCTGGAGCCTATATAAAAACATATCTGTCTACATCTTCCCATTATCTGAGCATGTAATTCCAGATCTGATTGCAGCAGATGATATGAAGTTATTCTGAGCTTAAACTGGAAAACTATGCTTTAGAAGGCCAGTTAAAAAAAAAAAAAAAAAAAAAAAAAATCTGAATTTTGTATTTCTTTCATGTTTTCTCCAGTTGGGACACCCTTGATGAAAAGAACCACTGAGTGGGGCTCAGGTCAGTCAGAATTGGTGGCTAAGTCCAGCTGATTTCTTGAGCAGGGAGAATGAGTGGGAGTTTAAGAGTGCTTGGATATTAAAGATATCCAAAGGGGATACAGGGGAAGGACTTGAAAAGAGATATTCCTTCACTACAGACTGTGATTTGTGCTGGGGCTGGGAGCCAGTTTTTGCTAAACTTGGTTATTATCGAAACCTTCTTTTGGTTCTTTATTTAGCATGTAATTCTTAATTTGATATATTTAAAAGCTGTTAGTAGCAACTGATAGTTTCAGGTCTTCTGAAAAAGAACAGAAAAAATGGCCATATCCAGCAAATTTAGAAGGCTTAATTTGACTGTATCAGAAAAAATAATGGTATACTGGGGGTGAGATAGCTCCAGCATCTGGACAAAGATTATTAGTTTATCTCTCTAGGAAGCTCAAGGTATAATTTCAGAATTATGTAAAAACATCATAGAAAAATCTTTCTTTAAAAATCCCAAACTTGATCCTTGTGGCTCTTTGCAGTTGTTCTGAGTTGCCTTCTCCACCAGGAAATTTGTCTCCAAGTTGACATCTGAGAAAAAATTCACTTAGATGAAGAAAAATGGCCTCTTGTTTTTGTTGTAGTTTGTGTGTTTGCTTTTTTTTTTTTTTCTTTTGGTTGGTTGGTTGGTTTGGTTTCAGTACTGTCTTTTTTTAGTGATCTGTGACTTTTCTGTTTAGCAGACAAAAAGGAAATGATTCATAGATCTTCCAGGAAAATACATAGCAATCTGAGATGAAGAAATATCTGCTTCTGAGCACTCGGCCTCCTATCCTTAAATTTTTATTCTGTTTGACATTTAATTTAAAATCTGGTTTGATTTAGCCTGAAAGACTAGTAACAAAGGTGTAAAATACTTCATGTGATAGAGATTTGAATCTCAAGATATTTTCAGTTAAGCTTATTCTCGAGCCCTTGACAGAGCCATCAGCAGCTTCTGACGAGGAAGCAATGAAGGAAAAACCAGGAACATCTTTACTTTAAAATCAGGCTATGACTCAAAACCACCATTTAACTGTCAAATTCAGTGTGATGCAGCAGGAAGAGTTCCAAATGGCTTCTAAAATGCATTTGAATTATATAAAGCTATTAATATTCATGCAGCCATGCAAAGTCACTGTATAAACCTATGGGAAAACATAAGGAACGTCACTACAAGCTGCCAAAAATACTATGACCTTCTGATCTAGCTTTTAATGGAAATGGGTTTTCTTATTGCCAAAAATAAATAATTAATTGCTTGATGTATAATTTCATTACTGATCATTTTTTTCAGTGCTCTCATGCTTCTGTATTTTATTCAAGATTCCTTCAGGCCTTTTCATTCCCAGTATGGCTGTTGGAGCCATGGCTGGCAGGATGGTTGGAATTGGAGTAGAGCAGCTGGCCTATCACCATCATGACTGGATCATCTTCAGGAACTGGTGCAGACCTGGGGCAGACTGCGTCACACCAGGACTTTATGCTATGGTGGGAGCGGCTGCTTGCTTGGGTACAGTACATGCTGATCACTGTGCATGGGTAACACCAATATTTGGGAACCTACAAATTGCTTACGCGGGTACTGTGTTTGTGTTAGGTTTCATGCTGGTGTTTCTGAATGTAATAGACGTGACGGGCTGAAGCATGTGAAGCTTCTTCAAAGGGTCTCCCCAGTGGTTTACAAGAGAGAAGGCAATAAGAGCTGTCTGCAAGTGTAGACAAGTCAACAAGAGAGACTTGCAGTCACCAAACCTACCCGTTGTGATCTGCCAATAGAGCACAAATGAGAAAACTAAAATAAAGTTAGGTTACGGATTTCAAAGGATGAGTGATGGTGGTAATTTATGTTGGTTGCTTGCTTTTTCCCTTAGATATAATGAAATCCACTGTAGCTGGAGTAAAGCTACTTCTTGTTTGTGTTCTCTCTCTAGTGAGGGGAATAAACTTCTCAGGTCTGGCCAAATCCTAAGCTACATAGAAGTAAAAATTTGGGGTCTTATTATGGCTGTGTGTCAAACTCTGATCAACTGAGTTGTCTTTTTGTTTTCATTCTGGCTGTATGCCAACATCTGATTGCACCAAATTGCTAGGATTCGTTGGATTTTACAGGAATGACCCGTTAACTAGTAATGCTAGGTCACTGAACCATACCTCACATATTAAATTTCTAGTCATAAATCTAACAGGAATGTTGAAGAATACCATCTGAATGCATTTTTGTCCTATCACAACTTTCCCTTTCAGTATGTGCATGTTTTACCTCCTTTTGTTATCATCATTGATAGAATCATAAGATGATGAAATAACAGTGGGAAAGATACACTCAGAGAAGAGCTGGAGACATTTCAGTTTCAGAGTGTCCTGTTAAAGAAATAGGATTGTTTGTGTGATCATTTACTGGGGAACTGAAGGTGGGATTTGCTTGTCTAAATTTACATTCTGTAATGTAGACACTGACACCTGAGATGCATTGATACCCTTCACAGTCCATACATTAAAAATGAAATACTGCGAAGTTCAGTCTCATCTGGCAGAAGACATCAGGCAAATTTATCCTTGATGGTGACTGTTCTCTCCAGAGGCTATAAAAGCAATCTGGATGACTGCTACAATGCAGACATGTAACAACAGCTAGGATGAATCTTAGTCTCAGCAAGCATAAAGCACTTTCTCTTATCCGTAAATGATCTTAATGTTCATAAAATAAATAACACGAATTTTGCTGTGGTATTCCAGTTGATCCTCTGGCCAACAGTCACTTCCTCTTTAAAAAGTTCAAATCAAGGTGCAGTGCTTTTAGCAGCATGTTGAATCGTACAATGGCACGGTCAGCACTTGTTCTTAAGGCCAGTGTTCTGTCTTGCTTAGGGAAAGGCTGTAAGAAACAAAGGAAGTATTAAATGATCCTTACAGTGGTATCTCCTCTCAACTTCTCAGATTCAGTCATTAAGACATTCCTGAGACGAAAGTTATATCCAGATTGTCATGTTAAATAATCAAAAACTAATTTTCATGTATGTTGTAGAATAAAAACATTGTTAAATGACCTGTTTGCTGATTCCTCTCATCTAAAATGATGTTGCATTGTGAGGACTAAAAATAGCAGATTTATTACGTTTACCTTTTGAACAGAGGCAAAGAAACGTTACCTAATAATTCAGTGATACATACACACTTGTCTGCAGATATATGATTATTTTTATCCTTTAATGTAAACTGAAGGAGTAAGAAGTTTGCTTATAAAATGAAAAGACTAAATTGAAAAATATAACTACAACTACATTTAGGCATGTAGAGCTGCATGCCTAAATGGCCTGAAACCAAGTTGTCTTGGTTCAAACTGTGTGTTAAACTAATGTAAGTAGCTTGCAGTGGCCCTAAACTGTCCATACCTCAAATTTTGTAACTGTGACATACTTGAAGGTAAGGCTTTGATTTCTTTTCAGTATGAATGCTATAAGTAACCTGGTGTGAAGGCCAGCTGTCAAAGCTCCCAGAGCTGTAATACTGCCTGTCTCAGCCATGGAACTCTGCTGATTCTTGGAGTTATTTTAGAGAGTCGACAGAAGGATTCAGTGTTAGTTTCCCAAGTATCCAGTATAGCTGAAGTTTTTGCATGCCTTCTGGATTGATAGCTCAGTCTTGTTGCAGAAATTCTTTGTTTTTCAAAGTTTACATCTTTGGCTTGAGCAAGTTTGCTTGATCTTTTTGATGAAAATTGCAGCAGATGAAAAATTTCTTTCTTTAGTTAAGTAAGCCCCCAGATAATTCACAAAGTATAAGGGCAAAGTATTCAGCATGAATAATTTTGTGACTTTTAAACGGCAAGAAGCAAAAAGATAAATGAGTTGCTTAGTGGGTATACTTATGGAGAACTGAGGACATGTGACTGCTTTCTTTGTTGCCAGGTGGTGTTACTCGAATGACGGTCTCTTTGGTGGTGATCATGTTTGAACTAACTGGAGGCTTGGAGTATATTGTACCTCTTATGGCTGCAGCTGTCACAAGCAAGTGGGTGGCAGACGCCTTTGGGAAAGAAGGGATCTATGAAGCTCACATTCATCTGAATGGTTACCCGTTTCTAGATGTGAAGGATGAATTCACCCACCGAACTCTGGCAACAGACGTCATGAGACCAAGGCGTGGTGAAGCTCCTCTTTCTGTTCTGACACAGGACAGCATGACTGTGGAGGATGTTGAGACATTAATCAAGGAGACTGACTACAATGGCTTCCCAGTTGTGGTCTCAAAAGACTCGGAGAGACTTATTGGATTTGCACAAAGACGAGAGCTCATTCTTGCAATAAGTGAGTAGAGAGTATCAGTATACATGTTTTGATTTTGATAACGTGGGATGTTAACTGTGTTATTCACAATTTTCTGTTAAATGGAAGTGTCTGAAAAGCAGAGTCAGGTTCACAACTATATGTCTTCTTTTCAACATTATGCCACTCAGAATGCATCATCAGTTTGAACTAGCCACCATACAATGACATGTCACTGACATGAGAATAATGCACTTCAACTAAGAAGCCTCAGCTTTCTCTTGCTTGACAAATTGTGCATCTGCAATGTGGTGGCTGAGGGAATACACTGGAGAAGTACTCCGATTCCCTCACACAACTGACCTCTTAGATGAAGGCAATAACTATTGAGTCCTGCATAAAATCCTGGCCCACATACAGCTCTCTGCCTCATGATCTACTTCCACACCATATCTTTCTTACACTGTGGAGTGCTAGGCAATCTCTAAAAATGTCTGGTCCTTGTAAAGTGAATAGCAATACCACTTCTAATTGCTCCAAAGCACTTTCAGGAGAATTGCATTCCTCTGTACCTCCTTGTTGAGCAGGTAGGTAGGTCAGGCAAACTTAGGTGGTCAGTCACCCTCTGAGAATATACGTGTCCACCTTAGATGACTTCTGCTTTACAGTATTTGACTCTATAAAGCTCTTCTTTCATTTGGCCAACTTTTGATGCATTGTACTAAAGGCTGTGTTTCGGACACAATCCAGGTGGCCTCTATAATGTACCTGCCCCAGTGCAGAGTTGGAAGAGCAACATAGTTAACATAGGCTGTGAACTCCTGAATTTGAGAGGCCATTTCACAGTTGGGAGAATTAATCCACACTCTAAGACAAAAGCCTTCTGCACAGATTACTTTGTAAAGTCATCGTCATCCATTTGTCTCGCTCTTCCTGCTAATCTGTATCTGTTTTTCTTACCCACTGATTGCAAAAATTGTCTTTTCATCTGTTTCACCTTTAATCTAAATTCTCCGAACAGTGAGACTGCACACAAAGTCCACCATTTTTATGATACCACTGAATTTGCTCAAAAGTACTACATCATTCAAATTTCTCTAGAGAGATATTTAGCTTTCAGGAGTGAAGTCATGGCTTTGGTTAATCACTGTTGTCCAGAGTCATTGCTGCCTTGGGAATAGCAAAGTGGTAACTAAAGTACTTGTGCCTGTTGTTTTGGGTGCGTGTTCAGGAAGGAAATACCTAGCTGTCAAGGGTTTTTATCAAAAGGCGGGAGTTAATTTTGATTAATGTTACCTCTTACCACAGATCATATATCAAAGAACTATGCAGCATGTTCACACTTGAAATTAGATGTATGACTCAAAACAAGATGAGACAAAGTTAGCATCATTCCTATAAATTGCAATAAGGCTTGTAATATGTGGGGTGAGAAGGTTGAGAATCATATAATATAGTGATATTAGGTTTGAGCCAAAACTGCTCCAGTTCCAGAAACATTACAAGACAAAGATCGTTAAAAGAAAAAAAATACAGCTGGAACATGTTGGAAACCATTACTGTCTACACATTACAAGTCACAGAAGCAGATTTCTGCACTTTGATTGATGGAAATGACCTCCAAGAATATATACATATGCTTTGAGTATGTCTGATTTGCTGTACCTCTCAAGAACAGAAGCAAGTTCTATTAATCAAAGATAATAATTCCTACCATTTCCAAGAATTTCTACAGAGAGAAAAAAAAAAGAAGAAAAATTTAACCCTCTGAGCCAAACACAAGATACACTAGTTCTGAGGAGAGAGAAGTTGCTTATCATTTGGAAATCCATCTCAAATATTGTAACCTGTTATGATGAACAAAAATGAGGTAAACACTATCAAGAAAATAAATCACTTCAGTGCTAAGAATTCTTGTAAAGTCGTACCACAAAGCAGAAGGCTTATATTGATCATGTAAATTCCTAATATAAAGTTCATAGTTTGATCAAAGTATGTATTGAAGCTTTCGACTTTTTGAAAAGGTTCAAATACTTGTTGTTGAAAAAAATGTATCAGACTGATTTCCTTCTTATGCTGTTTTCCATTAAGCAGGAGGCTTATTTTTTCTGTCCTTTTAAAATTCAGGTATATAAACTCTACTCAAGGAATTAAGTGCAAAATTACATAGTTCACCTTGCATCCCAGAGTTGTGCCAGTCTAGAATAACACACATACATCTCCTAGGTCATTGTGATGTGAATTAGTCTTTTGCTGCCTTTTTACAACACCCAGATTTTCTCAGCTCCAATACAGCTCTAAGATGACTGGAACGCCTCTCCTTCAGCATGAAATAGTTTCTGTTGTGATTCTCACATGGAGAAAATTACACATAATTTTTTGAATTTGACAGAGATTGAATTAGTGATGTTAATGAATGTAATGAGCTCCATTTTTATTTAGGAAAGTATTATCTCAAACAAGAAGTATGTATTTGTAAAAAGATCATTTGCTTCAGAATTATCAAGGAAATAATATCTTAAGGAAATTCAAGTTTTTTCCTTGACTTCAACTCCCAGTATCTCAGAACATTTAAGACAAAAGTCTGCTACTACCACTGCTTTCCAAAGAGGGATATATTTTTTTGTTGTTGTTATTAAGCCTGTTTTCAAGCCTGACTCACCCTCTCCCTCTATCTTCCTGTTGCACAGAGAATGCAAGACAGCGTCAAGATGGGGTGGTGAGCAACTCCATTGTGTATTTCACTGAAGATCCTCCAGAACTGCCACCCAATAGTCCCCATCCTCTGAAGCTGCGGCGTATTCTCAACCTGAGCCCTTTCACTGTCACTGACCACACACCGATGGAGACTGTGGTAGATATCTTCCGGAAACTTGGACTCCGACAGTGTCTTGTCACTCGTAGTGGGTGAGTAGAAGCTGGGTCAGGTATGCTTCAAGAATCTCAGGAGATTTTCATTAGCATTAATAAAAACACTCCTTTTCCCATTCAAACTCAAGTATGGACAATAACTAATTAATCAGCAACTCTGAGATACTCAGATGAATGATTTTGGTTGCAAAAACTAAGAAAAGTGCGTCTGGTATCTCCCCAGGGAAGAAAAAATATCAGACTCACAACCAAAATGGCCTTTAGCAGGTGTTCACACTATTCTCCCAAATCCTTTGTGTACTGTCCTTTAGATAGGGTAAAGATAGATAAATACAGAGGAAGTTGTTCTGACTTCCACTGTAGTTTCATATTCAACAAAGGCAAATCTGGCAAGTAGTATAATTATTTGCAAATGATGTGTCTTTTCTCAGATATTCAGCCAGATTAGATGCTTATGAAGATATAAAAGTTCATGAAAACTACTGAAGAAATGTGAGCAAACATGAAATTAGAAGAGTAAAAACTGTATAGTATGCACTAAAAATAACATCCCATGGATCCAGTGGGGTTTCAGTTATTCTAGGAGCACTGTTCATCACATGATCTGGTGATAAGAAGCTTTATGGCAAGATAGCAAAAAGAGAGCTATCAATTTCGAATGAGGAAGATTAAAATTCAATCTTCTGCAAAAATACTTTCTGTTATTTAATTATATAGCATATAATCTGTCAATGCATTGTGCTCAACAATAAAAATATAAGGACCAGTAATTAGATCTTGATTTGAGGTACTCAGATTTGGAAATTTTGATCTCGATTTCTAGGACATCAGACTAAATGTGGAATAATTCTAACAATGACAGTTTCAAAACTCAGTGCCTCACTGCCTTCAAGAATTGAAAATAAAAGCTCTGGAACATTGAGTATTAGGAAATTTTTTACACTTGGGGTCAGATACTCAATAGGCCTCATATTTCTTAACAGATACAATTCATTTAAGATCACATAAATGAGAAATTAATTATCAATCAAATTTAAAGTCACTATGATGTCATACAGTGAGAATTTCATAAAGCCCATACTTTAGTATAGTTTATGTACTATTAAACTCCATGTATGTCCTACATAGGTCACTGGTGTCCTGGTTTTGTGCTGATGCAAGGAAATACATTACTTTGTCATATGAAGCACCAGTAATTGTAGCTCCTCACTGAATCGTGTTTCCCAACAAAAGGAGATATTTTAGTTATCACAGTTGAGGTAGCAAAAATACATGAAGTATGAATGTTTTTTCATAAAAGATAATCATTGGAAAATAAAGAGTATGGACAGCGTTATATGGAAGCACTAACAAAATGTCTTTGCAGCTGAATAGGAAAACATGGATGATATATGAGATGACTGTTGACCTTTCCTTTTCTTTCCTTCTCTAGGAGGCTGCTGGGTATCATAACTAAAAAGGATGTATTACGACATATGGCTCAAATGGCAAACCAGGACCCTGAATCTATCATGTTTAACTAGACTGTTAAAGGAATAAGAAAGTAATCCCAAAGGAATCCCTTCTAGATTAACACAGAGGTGTTCAGTGTTTCTTTTTATTTCAAAGGAAAATGTAACGTGTATGAGGAATGGTCTAATACGTCTCTGACAGAGGGCGTGGATGCAGGATGGCACTTATTTAATGAGGAAGGCAGTTTAGGAGCTCTGAGCAGCTGCAGACATCAAGCTGTGTTTTCTTAATGAGTTTCCAAACAGCTCAATTGGTGCACTGGTGGGTGTAAGTGATGTGGTGCTGAGAGACAAAGAGCCAGGAGCACCGGAGGGATGCATCAACATTCACAGGAACTCAGGAGGCAGGTGTGAAGACTAGCAGACACTGTTTTTGTATAAACTGTTAACAAAGATTTGTGTTCCAAACTAGAGAGTGTGTACGAGCAACGTCAGTTGTTTTTATTACTGAAACCATGGCTATTTATTTGCTATTGATTTATACCATTTTCATGAGGAAAAAAAGAAAGTCATATTTTAAAGTCAAACATTTTGTCACCTTCACTTTTTTTTGTAAAAGTTAAGTAAATTCAGGACTGAAATTAAAGGAGCAAGAGCACATTTCAATTCACTTTAAAATATAGTGGTTGCTGCTCCCCTCTTTAGTCCTTTGAATTTTACAATTTATATATCTATACAGTTTATAAGTATACAGTTCAATATTTCTGTCAATCAGCTTTTCTTTATTAATGTGGAAATGTGACTTATTTCTAAGGAGCATGAGAAAAAACTTCTTTACTGTGAGGGTGATGGAGCACCAGCACAGCTTGCCCAGAAAGGCTGTGAAGTCTCTTTTCTTTGGAGATATTCAAAACCCACTCGGATGTGATCTTGTACAATGTGCTTGAGCAGGGGGATTGGAATAGGTGATCTTTAGAGGTCCCTCCCAACCTCAGCCATTGTGTGTGTGTGATTTCCTATTTCTCTATGCAATTTTGCGTATAGATACTGTAATACTTGGTATTATGTGGTTTGCTGTGACAATAGAAAAAAGCATGAGAGCAAGAGAAGGAATTTTAAAAGGCACAAAAGGGAGAATGGTGTCCAGCTCTCATCAGTGCTGGTGACAAGAGATTGAATACTTCACCTGTCACTCCTTGCGTAAAGGGAAATTGTCATTTTTCACAGAAATTGGAAATTCTGCATTGATTCCTGATTCTCCACTTAGTTCCTTTCCTTCACTGGCTTTTCTTGACGCTTGTCTGCACCTGCCAAGAGATTGCTTAAGTTAACTTAACAACCACAGATATTTATTCTGTAGCATATTTGTTCTTTATGCTGTGTCTGCCAGAATCCCTCCCCACAGCACTGTGGAAGGAATAAGGGATCAAATGGACTGAGGATGCAGCCAACAATAGAAAGGCTTTAATTATTTATCTGTTCGTAGCAAGAAAACATGATTTAACACCCCCACATCGGGACATCCAAGCCACTCAGGTAAAAAATGTTACATTTTCTTAAACCTTTGCTCTGGTCCTGTATGAGATACATGGAGTCAACATTTTCTGTGTTAATACACAAGCACTTTAGTCATTACTGATTTCAGTAATAGACGACCAAATTCTACTCTCGGTAATCCCTAATCCATGCTGCCCAGCGTTTGGTTTGTAAGCTTGAAGATAATGACTGAATGATTATTTAGATGCTCTGAATCTCCATCAGAAGGGCCTTCTGACTGCCCAAGTCTCTGAAGAAACCATTGATTTAGGCAGCTAAAACCTCTACTATTTTTGCTCAAAATTATAAAGATAACAGAAGCTCGAGTCTATTGCACCCAAAAGGTTTTCAAGGACAGAGATGAAAAGATTATGCCAGAAGAATCAGACAAAAGCCATAATTTTGAGCCAACTTGAAGGCATGATCATTGTGTCCCTGTACTGAGACAACTAACCAGGTGCACCCTAAGTTAGAAGCCCAAAGTTACAAATTCCTACTCTTATCTACAGTGACCCTGCTTCCTTCTGGCAGGTGCCCTACTGCATTCAGATAAAGTAAAGTATGGCCCAAACTGTTTAAGAGAAAGAAAGGGACAGTTTTAATTTGCTAAGTACAGCATTTAACAATAGTGTTTGCAACAGACTGACATAAATACATGTAGCTCTGACCAAATCCCATAAATAGTGAAGTGTGTATTTTTTTTTTGTTAACTGAACATCTGCAGCATGATGTATTATTAAAGGCATATTGTTAAACATAAACCATGGAACTGAGTAACCCTTCTGAAAATAGGAAATGCAACATAATGTTGCTGTTCCTTTTGTTTTTCTATGAAGAAATCATCAATGAAACTCATAAAAAAGCAACCAAGTTAACCACAAATCTCACGAAAATTGGATTGCATTATCTGAAGAGGGATTTTAAAATTTGTTTTAAAAATCAGTGGTTTCACCAGACTAAACCCAAATGTAAGGTTCTGCTCCAAATTACTAGAATCTAAATAGACTAACTTCTGGAGGCAACTTTCTTCTGAAATTAAAACTGAAAGACTGTCTTGTACTTTTCACTTATGGCTCCTAACATTCATATATACTTGATGGACACTTTCTCCATCTCCTTTTATGTTTATATGGGAAGTAAGTATGCAGACTCTCCCCACTTGAACACTTCTAAATATCTCTTTTGCTCATAAGACAAGATAAATAAATTCATCTGAGAGAGACAGACAGAGAGAGAGACAGACAGAGAGAGAGACAGACAGAGAGAGAGACAGACAGAGAGAGAGACAGACAAAAAAAAAAAGAAGAGAAAGCAGTTCTAATGTAATAATCTTAGGTAATTCCCCATAACAAGCCCACTATTATTCACCATTTTCCATCTATATTCCCAAATGTGTCTCAGAAGTCACTGAATAGACTCCAAGAGGTACAGACCTCAGCCTTAAGTGTTTGAATTGATACAATTCAAAATAATAGTCACCTAGCCTGATTAATCTGAAACATATATTAGTACACAGTGCTTTGTTTATGCAGCCTGTGAAATCCTCACATTCAAACAGCTGGACTTTGATAAAGTCAAACTAAACAAGAGAGCAAAAACCTTTGAATGATGCAAATTCAGTGTTGTACCTTTGTTTTGCATGAACTGTGTTCAGTTATATTCAGTTTCTGATGTGTATGTGAAGCAACCTGTACCAGAAAGTTCACTATTAAAATGCAGGACATGGATGGTTTAGCCATATCCTTTGGCTGTCACAGTGACACTAATTATTTAATTCTTATGCTTTGATGAAGCAGAAAAAGAATGTTTAAGAATTACAGAAGACACATTGATTCCGTGTTGGAATGACAATACAGTTATGAATATTGTTTCGTTGTTGTATTTTTTTTTTTTCGTTATGGTAGAAAACAGTATATATGTTGCACCTTATCAAAAACAATGTTTGGAATCTATTTTTTAAATAAAAATGATGACTTACAGAACTGGGAATGTTGCTTCAATGCATTAATAACTGGAGAATTGTATCTCTTAATGGCTCTGTACAATTTTGATGTTTTCCTTTCCCACCTGTAAAAATAAGTCTGATGAATAATACAGGATATCTGATTCAGAATACAGGATATCTAATTCAGTTTTGGGTTACCTAGAATGAAGTTGAGAGTTAGGAAGTCCATATTTATTAGCATGAAACCTCCCTTAAAACTTAGTTAGAGGAGAACTTTAGTCTAGTAGCAAAGAATATAAGATTTATCTGATTAACATACTAACAAAAAGACAAATACAAGCATACAGAAAGGCACTAAGGCTTCATGTAAATGAGATAATGATAAATAGTTTATTCCAAAAAGTATTCGAGATTTCAAGACATGCTCCATGGAACAAATTTGCTAAGACTGACATTTCACCAATATTCTCTTTTAAGATAAATTACTTACTTTAGAAGCTGGTGCTGGAGTACCAGGGCCCACAGCTTGTTCCATGGATTGCTGTAGCCCTAACATGGCCCAAGAAGCCCACACCAAAAAGCTGGGAGGCAGCACACTCGCAGCAGCTTAAACAAGCAGTAATAATTCCTTTAGTTTGTAGCTGGTCATGAGGGACTGAGCCTTAGACCTGCCTGTCATCACTTTTGATAGCAGAGCCAGGAAATGAAAGAGATGTTGAGAGGAATGCAGTGCTGCCCTGTTACAGCTATGCACCACGCATCCTGGCCTAGGTGCTCATGTTCACTAAACCAAATGGCCTATTGCCATCCATGTGCGTTTTTGTTCCTTCAGGAGCCCCCTTCTCTCTATTTATTTGCTGCAAGAAGCATTATTCCCCATGCTGTCCTGCTCCTCTGCTCCAGCTGCAGATGCAATCTTGCTTCCAGATCCTCCCCACTGTGGTAGCTCAGCCTTCCAGACACTATCTTACAGACTGCAACCCACACAAAGATGTTGCACCTGTCATTGATGCACACAGGATTCTGTACCGGTCCCTGCTTGAGGATGTGGAAAATCTGGTAGTGTTATTCACAGTGGTATCCTGCACTGAGTTTTCTGATTGGTTTTCAGCTTGATATCTTAGTGCAATACCAAAAAGATGAGCTTTTCAGAGAAATAGTTGCTGTATTTGTACGGTTCAATCTACACATATTCACTGTCTCAAGCAGTGAATGGTGAATCTACAAAGAATGCAAATGGGCTGGGAAGTGGCTGTGACAACATTCCTGAAGCACCTACTGGCTCTTAAGCAGAATTTGACAGGAGATACAGACATGTAGCTGCAGATTTAGTCAGCAGCTCTGCATCCCTTCTTTCATCTTGCTTGCATTCTGAGCATAATTAATGTGCTCAGTTTGAGCGTATTACAAGCACAGCTTGAGCACAGTTAATGATTTCGACCAGTGCTATCTTCAAAATAATCTTGTATAGTCAGGGTCAAAACAGTCTCAGTATTCCTACGGATACAGTGTCACCCAGCTTCTTCAGCTGTGTTTCATTTGAGAACAGATTCTGCAGCCTGAACAAACAGTGCTCAGCTCCCTGCGGACATCTGTAAAGCCCCTGCAGTCCATCTCTGCCTTGCACAGCTCTTGCAGCAATGTCTACTTGGGCCGGCACTCATTCTGGACCTGAAGCAGCCTTAATGCACCAAGATTCAGTAATGGGTGCAGGAAAAACATCTACAAACGTCCACAACAGTGTCTAACTCTCAAGAGTATCATCCCCTGTGCTACATTTACTGGTTGCATCACTAGGAAGGAATAATATGGAAAATAAAGCTAAATCGTAGATATTTCTATTGACCTATGTTACAGTTTTACACTAAAAGACAATTTTCTTCATCTCTTTGAAGTAAGATCTTTCTTTTAACGGTTGTTAGTGAGAACCGTGACTGCTGTACAGTTTGATGTGGCACGCTTCTAGGCTGGCCCATCAAACACTGAGCATGTTGCCTTTGATAAAGGCAATAGAAAGGAGTGCCTGGAATAACTATGCCATGGGAAAAGCCCATTTCAAATAATTAAAGTGACGTGCATAGAGAAAAACATAGCACTCTTTTCTTTTAAAGTTTGCCAACAGATGCCATGGAAAGATATTTTCATGTTATGAAGTCCTAAGATTTATAAACTATGCTGAATTTGACATAAAATTTGTATTTTGTTTACGAGAAATTTCTCTCACCTAACACCCATACTTAATCACTATGAGACACCAAAATCTCTGAATAAATCAGAGGGGATAGCCAGATTCTTTAAGTCTTCCAGATTGGTTAAAGAAACTCCAAAGCTCTGCTGAACTTCAGAGATGAGAGAGAGGACATAAATTCTATCAAACTTAATCACAGTCCTAGTCAGCACTAAGTTCATGAAAACCGAAGTACAAGAGGTGCCATCTCCAGACCTTACCTTTTTCACAGAAGATCATGAGATCGGAGATTCTTGTGTTCTGGAAGGGCTGGGATGCAGTTAGCATGTTAGGTGAATGTGCTGATTCCCATCATTCTGGCTCTTCTGGGCACTGAGTGGCAACTGACCTTCTTAGGTCACTCACTTCTAAACTATATCTTCTTCTTAATATATCTGTATATCTGGACTTCCAAACGTTTGGTTCACAGTTTTAGATTCCTGAAAGTACTTCTCTGGTACTGAATACCCAAATGGTCAAATAACTAAAAAAAATTCTAGCAAATTAAGCCCAAGAACAAAATGTCTAACTTCCTCTTGTTATTGACCAGAATTATTTAAACTTTGTCTACACTATCACTGTTTGAGATCAATCATCATTTCAATTATTGCAGTAATTCATGATTTTTAATCTCCACCCTGCTTTTAATCACCTGTTTTGTATTTGTATTATAGATACTTATTCAAATGGTACTACAATTAGAAGTACAACAGAAGTATACACTGTTTGGCTGAAGGTTTCTATGTCACAGACATTCAACATTTAAGCTGAATTATGTTTTGGCCACGTCTCAACTTTTAAGGAGTGCTCCCACAAAGCACTAGTCACAGAAGCACAAGGAATAAGTCATAATCTGTGCTGTACCTCTCCTTTCCAAGCCGGGGGGAACACACATGAAATCATTCCCTTTCTCTCTGCCAAGTTGGTTTTGGGCAACAGAAATCCCTGTACTTTCAACAGCTACAGCAACTCGAGTTTAGTAAAGCTCAACATGCCAGACTGCTGCCTTCCAGATACAAAGGCACCATTCCAAGTGTAACAGCTCTTTCTCTCTAAGGATAAATAGGTATGGAAGGTAACACTCTTATCTTCCTCCTCTTTTTCTTACTTTCCTGATCAGCTCTGGATGCTGCTGCCTTTCCCTTCCTTCAGCCCCAAGTTACAGCCCACTCTGTCTTTCTGCTGCTGCAGCTTTTTTTTTTTATTATTGTTATTATTTTAGAAAACAGAAAACCCAAGCCCCAGACAAATCAACATATTTGCTACATTTGTTCTTCCTGTTGAAGTGGAGCTGCTGCCCAGCCATAATGCAAACTGGCAAGGAGGAAAGTCATTAAATGAGCACTATTCTAGTTGCCAGCATTATTTATTTCCAAAGAATAAACATTCAGTGTTGGTGAAGTGTAAAAGACAACCAGTCAAGGGATCAGGACTGATTTACCCAGCTGACGGACTGGTATCTACTGACCACAGTGCCAGATTCCTTCTCATGTTCCAGTGCTATGGAGGGAGAGGGGGAATTATTTGCCATGTGAAGCTTCCTTTTTCTCAGATTGTCCCATTCATGATGATATCTTGATTTGAACAATCTCTGCCTCTCTTAAAGAAGCTGTTTCATTCTCAGTGAAAATAAAAAAGACTGAAGAGAAAATGCTTTTTTAGCAGCAGATACATTATCTCATTGGATAGAGAAGCAAGAGCAGAACCCCAGGCTCTGCCTGCCAAGGAACTGCCAATACCACTGAGATGTTTGTGTTAGGGAGATGGGTCTGTGCGTGCAGGGAAACAAAGGAACTGTGAGAGAAGGCTGGTGTAAGTGCCAAAACCATATGTGTGAGATCTGGCTGGAAATTCAGCCCAGAATGAGACCTGTGCAGAGGTGAGGTTTTCTGCACATCCATCCTCCATGTTTCTAATGGGCAGATCCTCAATGAGATCAACTTCTGTTGTTTCTGTTGTGGGTGCACAGATTTACGTAAGACATAATATAGGAAGCATGAGGTTGTCATGTCAGCCTGCTAACAGTATTTTCTTTACTATAAAAACTGGCAGCAGCTGTGACAGAAACAGCAGCAGTGAGAGGCAAGACTAAAATTCCCTGCTAGGGCAAGGGGGGATGCTGCCTGCTGCCTGATGGCCAGCCTCTCAAAGAGCAAGGAACCTCTCTTTTGGATCATGCAACACGGCTCCAACTCTTTCTACCCTCTGCCTAATGCCTCCACCCCATATGCTCCTTTAGCAGCATGTGTATGTATTCATGCACTTGGCTCCTGCCACAAAGCAGTCCTAGCAAAGCCTGGTCACATCATTCCCTTCCCTCACACCGCTGGCACACCAGCCCCATGGCACATCGCCAGAATCTTACCTTGACCCAATGCAACTTTCAGCAGAAATCAGAGCAGCAGTGTGGTCACCTCCTTTCAAACACAGCTAGGACTGATGCTGCTGCCACTTCCTCTTATCTCCCGTGTCCTGGTGCTTTAGAGCTCTGGGAACAGAGGATCCTCCATGCTGAGAAGCCTCTTAATTGGGCTGAACTCAGAATGTCTCACCAGCCATTTCAATCTGTCCTGCTCAGCTTTCTGAGCAGGACACTGCCCTCTGCACAGCCACATCAGGAATCACATTTAGCTTATTTTCCTAGAGATGCATGGAACCTGCCAGGAAACCAAACCCGTCGTTTCAACTACCACAGCCCCATGTGTACCCTGTCACAGAATGATAGAATGGTTTGTGCTGAAATGGACCTTTAAGATCACCCAGTTCCAACTCCCGCTAATAGGCAGGGACACTTCCCTCAGCACCAGTTGCTCACAGCCCCATCCAACCTGGCCTTGAATGTTTCCAGGGAGGGGCATCCATAACCTCACTGGGCAACCTGTTCCAGCATCTCACCATCCTCGCAGTAAAAAATTTCTTCCTGATATCTAGTCTAAATCTACCCTTTTCCAATTTAAAATGATTTACTCTTGTTCTGTTGCTACCAGCCCTTAAATAATGTCCCTCCCCAGCACCAAAACAGCCCCACAGTCCTCTCCACATCTAGATTTCCTATGAGATCGAAGAGATGATCTTACCTACTGTAAGGGCATTCAAGTACCCGAGGACTCGAGAGAGGCCAACATCCCTATCGGTGTAAGGAGAAACACCCCGTGGTGCGCTCCTGGCCGGTGAAAGACATGTTGGGCACCCCAATAAACGCTCTTCGGATCCTCTGCTGCGGAGCTGGTCGCCCTACAGGGTGTTTGGGAAGTCAGTGAGCCTCGCTGGAGATCTTGATTAACGATTGCCCTGGTGACCAGCCCGGGTTTCAGTTCGCGGGGCGGCCGCAGGCAGCGGAGGCCCGGCAGGCGGCACTCACGGCCTCGGTTTGGGCGCGCTGCTTCAGGCTCACGCTGACAAAGGCCGTGAGGCTGCTGTTGTTGACTTCTGGTTCCCGTAGAACAAGCTGTGCTGTTGTTCGCTCTCAATTTGCGATTGCTCTCATGGATTTTCCTAGGTGTGCCAATTAAGAGCTAATACATACATAAGTATAGTTTTTATCCTGGTGCACTGCGATCTCCAGAGGGAAAGGGGAGAGGAAAGCAAGCAATCTTTTCCTTTGTTTGCATGATTTGGCAGGGCTCAGGCATGCCTGTCTGCTTTGGTTTCTTAAACCACATATCACATCTGTAAAAACAGTGGCAAAAGGAGGAAAAAATAATCTGCAATGCTTTCCTGGTGGTTTCTGCGAGGCTTTCATGTAACCAATACGTTTTCATCAATTATGCATTTAGGTCACAGGAAGAGTTGGAAGAAGGAATTCCTTTGCCGTTTCAAAGTTGCTGTCAGGAAGAAAATATAGCTGAGCTGATGGAGCTAGATGAAATGCAGTTTTGTACTTCTGATCTTTTTTTCCCTTCACTTTTTTTTTTTTTAAACCATAATTTCTATTTGCATAAGCATTTTCCATGGCACAGCAAAATCAGAGGCCCTTAGAGCATGGAAGTCTCCTATATTGTAACAGTAGTTCTAAAACTTATGTAAATACTACTAGGGAATTGAATAAAAGGCCTTTCCTGCAAAGCATCTCATCAATTCTGGAAAACAGCATAGACTCCTTGATAGGCAGCATTTCCACATGTAACCCCTAGGCTTCCATGTAATTTACAACCCCAAGTTAGGTGCTTAAATACCCTTTTAAAAGTATAATGAGAATTAAATGCTAAGGAATGGGTTTCACTGCAGCCAGCACACAGAAGAAACAAAAGTCAATACTAGGTACTGAGAAACACCATAGAAGTTCTTAAAATATTTCCCCTTCCCTACATTAGTGCTTACAGGAGCCCCCGTGTCCCTTCAGACCATATGCCTGAGCTAATTCTTACAGTAAAGATTACTTGTGCACTCTCTTCTTGTTAAAAGAGCCTGAGAACTTGTGGAAATGCATCTGGTGCTGCTGTCTGAATCTCACCAACACTTCAAGCACTGAGCAGGAAGCAGCATATGAGGGCTCAGTGCATTTTGTTTATTTCCCTCCAGCAAAACTTACATGGGAGAGGGAGCAGGGGAAGAGAGATAATATTGCAGATCTCAAGAGAAGGAAGCTCTGCACTCCCACCCCTTCTTCCAACTTTGTGTGTTTTACTTACTTTTTTTTTGTAAACGTAAAACCTATTACCAGGCTTGGGAGCAAGGACGGAGCTGCAGTCTCCCATCTCTGATGTCAAAGTAATTAGGCTAGAGAATCATGTTTCCCTTTGTGTGCTGCCAAAATCACGCATTCCTGTGGGCCAGCTTCAACAGACAAGGCAAAGAGAGCTTTATTCTCTGCTCTCTCCTATCCCAAAGGTCAGAGTTGTACCTTAAGATTCTGTGGCTGCTGCTGGTATTGCCAGGCTGAGGAGGGTCTTTGAGCTAGCTGCTGCTCTTCTGAGGCATCACTTCTTCCTTGGGTTATGTACCTGAGCATAAGTAGGTTGTGAAATTCAGCATTGCTGGAGCTCCAGCCCAGGCTGGGAAGAAGTGTGAGGGCTTATCAATCCCTAAAGGTCCCTCCTAGCCAAGCTAACCTGCTGGTACTCAGTTCTCCCATGTGCTCCAGCACATCTCTAAAAAGTTTAAGAGGTCACAGTAACACAAAACACACTTATTTAGGGATCTCAAGCTGACTCTGAATAAAAAGTTTTGTTGTTATTGTTGTTGTTGTTTTATTTTTTTTTTTTTTTTTTTACAATAAGGATAATGAAGCACTGGAAAAGGAAAAGGTTACCCAGAGAGATGGTGGATGCCCTGTTCCTAGACACATTCAGGGTTAGCTGGAACAGGTCTCTGAGCAACCTGCTCTAGCTGTAGGTGTCCCTGCTCATTGCAGAGGGTTGGACTAGATGACCTTTAAAGGTCCCATCTCAAATGATTCTAAGGCAGCAGATCCAGAACGACAAACAATACAACTCATTGCTTGGGCAAGCCAGCCAGCATGCTCATTACTCTTGTCTCTTCCTCAGAGGGTGAAGAGAAGATGAACAGAAGGTACCCTATCTACAGAGATAAAATTCCCAGGGACTGGGGTTATCATCTTGGCATAGTACATATTACCGTATGCAAGGTTGTTAGGCTGTGTCCAGTGCTGATTGCATTGATTCCTGCCAACTCCGAGGAATCAGAAACATCATGAAGATTTTTTGGAAATTCCTGAAATTATTAGGGACAAAAATTACAAAACAGATACCTGGACAGAAATCTCTCTCTTCTGAGTCTGAAATAAGGAGTATATCGCTTTAATCCAGAGCAAGTTTTATTCTCTTGGTTTTGATTTGGAGGTAGAATTGCTAAGAGCTCCTTCAAAGGTCAAATTTAGCATACTTGTACTATATATACACACTATCACTTAGGATATTTGAATTGTTTCTTAAAATATTCTTCCTAGTAAGCAGAAAAATCTCCTAACTAGCTTAAAAGAAAGAATGTTAAATTCTGCTTTAATTAAGGTTTTACATGCAAAAGTTAGCAGTTTGCTAATGTTTATGAAATAAATCTGTCCTGTGAGACATGGCATTTGGATGCAGGGCTCTTTCATGCCTTCCTCTCGGAGGTGCCCTACTTTCAGTGGAATACTTGAATATTCATCTGGCAGGATGAGAGTGACTTTATGGAACAACCTGTAGGACTTTTTCCTAAGGACTGTAGTTCTGCTGTTCATTAGATTTCTCTAGTAAATCATTAATTATTTAGT